ATAATATATATATAAACATATAATATATATATAAACATATAATATATATATAAACATATAATATATATATAAACATATAATATATATATAAACATATAATATATATATAAACATATAATATATATATAAACATATAATATATATATAAACATATAATATATATATAAACATATAATATATATATAAACATATAATATATATATAAACATATAATATATATATAAACATATAATATATATATAAACATATAATATATATATAAACATATAATATATATATAAACATATAATATATATATTAGATTAAGTTTTTCAGAAATGCCATTATTGATGAAAATCATTGCATGTTAACTAACGCTAAAAATGCTGTGATTTTCATCAATAATATATATATATTATTGGTATTATATATATATAAATATATATATTGGTTGGAAGGAAACCTTATATATAATATACTGTAAATTTTTAAGAGTCTTGGTGTTATCAATAAATTAAAGTTTTTATTACCATATAAAATAATTCTTAACCTATATTATACTTTGGTCTATCCCTATGTTACATATTGTGATATTATATGGTGTAAGAGCATAAAGTCCCCTATTTCTTAACTAACTAAATGTCAAAATATCTTTATACTCTTTTTAAACTGACTGTAATTATTACAGTCTTTTTAGTCTCTCTTTTTTGGCAGCATAACCAGAACTGACTTGCACCATTCTTCTGTCCACTTTCCACTTTCCCAAATTTCTTGACAGATTGTGTAAATTTCTTTATACACGACTTGTCCTCCTGCTCTTTTCAGTTCTATCGGAATACCATCCTTCCCTGCACTTTTGTTGTTTTTCCTTTTACTCATCGCTCTTATAATTTCTTTCCTCGTTATTTCATTTTCATCTTTATTGGTTATTTTTCTGCTTTTCAAAATTTCAAGCGTATTTTTGTATGTGTTCTTGTCTCTGAACAAATCTTTAATATATTCAGCCCATCTTTCCCTAATCTTTTTACTTTTTTGCTAGGATGTTTCCGTTTTTATCTTTAAAAATCCTTGACATATTTTTCTGTTTTCCTTTTAACTGTTTAACCAGCTGGTACGCTTCTCTTATCTTCTCATCGTCTCTACCTTTTCACATTTACCATTAATCCATCTCCTTTTATCTGCCCTAGCACTCTTTTTCTGTATTTCATCTTATTTTCTTCATTCTTAAGAAGAAAGAGAAATACTTGAAGTTATTGATTTTAATGAAATAACTGATGGGTTTAAATTTTCAAGGGTAAGAAAAATATATACATGGCGTTCATTAATTGCGTTATTTTACTTGCATTTTTTTATAAATTAAAATAATTTACATTCAGGATTATGAAATACATTTTTATATATATTTTTTATCTGTATGTATAAGGATTTTTTGGCGTTTAAAAAACGATTTAAAACAATTTTTGTTTAATAAATTTCAAATAAGTATTCCTATAGAAATAGAAAAAAAATGTCTCTTTCTATTACTTAACACTTTTCTTATTAATTTTTCATGTTCATCTAAAAAAAATTATTTTTATATGGGGGAGGGAGCCTTGCACCGGACGCCAGTTTGATACGATGACGGACGGACAGATGGTACGATGGTTGGCGATGGTTTTATCCGTTACGAGTAGTCACTAAAAGCACTAGTGCCGCTACGAAAGCGCCGAGTTCGAGAATGAACTGGAACCTTCTGACAGCGATACATCTAGTACGTTCGAAAAGTGTCGATAAGACGGGTATTTAGACGCGTAGGTTATCAAATAGTGATTATTAATATCGAAAGCGATATATGAAATTTGTCTCTGCGTTGAAGTGTTTTTGTATTTGCGATATACGTCAGTGAATTGTGATTCGGAACGCGATAGTTTCCGAATATTAATTTGATAGTTTGGGAACAATAATTTTTATCTGAAAAAATGATTAACATTGATTATTGATTTGAAAATAAATAAAAAAATAGTATTAAAGCTATTTTGTGTCGCTATTTCCCATTGGGATCAGACGAACATGTCGTCTACCGGGCTGTTATAACAATATTCATTCATTTATTGACTATCTAATATTTTTCAGAGAAATCTACAACAAGCAGAGGTGAGAGGGTGGGTTATTTGCCTCGCCCGCTCGACGTTTGGTGTTAACGCTGAAACTTTTGCGACATCAACGGGTTTTCAACTGCCCTAAAAAATCTACCACTCTCACCATCGTCGTTTTTAGGCAAATCCAGTGGCTGTGGTTTAATTTTTAAACATCTGAACAGTCTCAGAGGCGAGCTACAACAACGTGTCCACAGTGTACGTAAACACACGTGAAACAACGCATCCTACATGTTGAATGTGATAGGCGGATACATCATCATGTCGCCCGTGAAAAGTAATTGAAAATGAAAAAAAATCTGTAAAAACGTTCTTACGGGGCAGTATTTGAAGTTATCACCAAACAGCATCATGCATTGAACGTTGGGTGAATATTTAGTGCCAGGCAGGTCATTCAAATATTGGTCCAAGTCCTCGTGTTGGTCGTTCATGTCAGACTTCAACATGCAGTTCTCGCCTTTGCTACAAATTTTTAAAAATAATAAATCTTGGGATATTTTTTAAGAATTTTAATGATATTTATTTTTAAATTAATTTATTAATAAACGTGTTATTATTTAAAATTTTTATAAAAAACATTTTATAAACCAAAATTCAAAATTATTAATTCATATATTTATCTCATCAAAACATCCTTCCAATTGACAAGAATATAAGAAAATATTTAAAGAATCTAAAAAACTAACTCATCCAGTTTACTGGCATATTCTTCGAAATAATTTCTCGCGCACGGGGAAAATGTTTCGTAGTGATTTTTCGCGTAAGGTTGGTAAACGGGACTCATGATGTAGATGTCGTCTTTGGGACAGTCATTCCTGTCCTCGTCGTGGAAAGCTCCTAATCTGTCGCAATGATTTTTTTTTAAATGATTTAAATAAAAATAGTATGTTACTGGAACGTATACAATGTTTTATTTTCAATTATTTAAGCAAAACAATGTCAGTGTAAATTGGGTAGAAAATGATTGATAGAGATTATGATTTGATTTACGATTATGATTTGATTTACGATTATGATTTGATTTACGATTGTGATTGGATTTACGATTATGATTGGATTTACGATTATGATTGGATTTACGATTATGATTTGATTAACTTAGGCGAGTGTGAGTCAGCTTTCTCGCTAATATGTTTGATATCAAATATGTTTCAGTAAAAAAGTGACTTTTTTTATTACCTCAAAGTTTTTTTTTAATTTGAATGAAAACCACACGTACATGTGTCCGATCTCGTGGGTGGCAGTCACTATGGTGTTCTGCTGTCCTCGGTGGCCCACCACAGTTATCCCGGTTGTTTTGCAGGCCGAACCAACGTGCGCTAAGCCTAACACTAATCCTGATATATAACTACACCAAATATCATTAAAAGTATCTATTAAGTTTGCAATTGAAAGTTTTATCAATAATGTTTTGATTTTTTTAACCGGTGTTTTGAAAATTATAAGAAACGAAATAGGGATTATTAAAAAAAATAAAAAAATTCATTCCAATGTTTTCCAATTTTCATCAAATGTCAAACAAAAATTGTCTCAAATAAATTTGCTGTAAAAAATGACCCACTTTGTGAAAGCTACCGCCACATCATATTTACGAAGCTTTATTTTATTATTTTTGTGGTCCATTGTTCGATTATAGTTCCATTCAGTTAAATTGTCTAGGGCGCTATAAATGTTATAAGTGTTGTCATTGATTTTGCTCTTCTCGATGAAATTTGAAGCAGATGGATTCTGGAAACAAAATTTTTTAGATCGGGTTTTGAATTTAAAGTTTTGTTATACATTTATTACCGAAATCATTTAATTGTGTAAAAAACAATGTAAACTGATTAAAGTGATGTTTGGTGTACAGTGTCTGTACATAGACAAACAATTAGAAAACGCATTTTTTATATAATAACCTGACAAATGATATAGTTGACAAGTTTAAATGAGAATCTGTACTTTGTGTTATCAATCGACTTGTACTTTTGATCAATCTATTCAGAAAAAGTTAGAAAATGAATCATGATATGAAAATACTGAAAATTCGGTTTCTCCTCAACTTTCGCTCTCTCTCTCTCACTCAACACTCTTTCTTTCTCTATTTTAATTTTTCTCTTCCTCTCTCTCTCTCTTTCTCTCTCTCTCTACACACACAAATATATATACATATATATATATATATGTATATATATATGTATATATATATATATTATTTATCGATAATATATATATATATATATAGTGGCGGATCTTGGCAATATTTTGAATAATATTTGACGACTGGAAGGGATTTTCCAAAAGAAAGTTGATGACCGGGGGAGATTTTTCAACAAGAAAAACTTGACTAGGAGGGGTTAATATTCCGAAAAAGCCGACGACCGGGGGCAAATTTGTGAATTTTTGAAAAAAGTCGATCATCGGGAGGTATTTACACAAACAAAACTTGGTGACTGTGTGGGGAATTTTTGAAAATTTGTTTGGAAAATTATAATCTGTGCTCACGGGGACCAACATTTTACTGGGGATGGGTGCAAACTTTATTGCTGATGGGTTTTATAATGTCAATTTTCTTTTCAAAAACATTATTTCTCACGTTAAAACAACGACTTTTACCATCTTTCAACACAAATAACGCTTACAACAGTGTCCCCTTAGATCCGCAACTGGACATATATGTAGAGAAAGAGAAAATAGAGAGAGAGAGAGGAGAGAGAGAGAGAGAGAGAGAAGAGAGAGAAACCAACACACACAAACACAAGCATATGTATATATTATTATAACGGCGGGAATGATCGAATTGCGCTATATTATTTGTTATCCTAATTATTGTTATCTGTGCTATAAGTGTAATTTTTTGATTGTAAGCTATCGAGGATTGTAGAGAAATATGCTAAAATTAAAAAATTTTTCAAAAACATTTTAGATTATAACAATTTAAGAAAATTGATTGAAATGTTCGACAAACTTGGAAATATATTTCAAACCGTTGTTGAATTATTAAAGCTTAAATGAAAGACATTAGAATCATCAATAAACAATTCAAAACCAGCATAATCACGTGTACAAAATATTATCACAACATTACACTTTTGAAATATTGAATCAAACACGATCATTCCATCGTCTTTATGGCACTAATTCAGAAAAATGTTATGCATAAACTCACTTAAGTTACGAGAGAGTTAAGCCTACATTGTGCAAAATAAATTAAAAATTGTTGCACAGCGAGCTTTTGATGGCATCTATCTTAAGTAATAGAAATATTTGCTTATCGCTATACACACATACATGTTCTGAAATTCACAAGCTTAAAAAATTAATTTTAAAATAGCGAAAAAAAAATTCAAACTCTCAAAATCTTCTGTAGTAAAATAAAAAGTATCTCTCAAAAAATTCCGCCTACTGAAAATATCTCCAACACCGACCGACTCCGACAATGAAAACTACTGAATCTGTTTTTACAATTGTGTGTGAATATATGTTATGCTGAGTGAATATATGTCATACTAACGCTACTAAATAAATATGCGCGTTCAGATATGCTTTCATTTTGATAAGATTCGTAGCTGCGAACGTAAGGAGACAACTAATTTTCAAAAAATTAAATCGAATTAATTAAAAATATCTTTAAATAAAAATAAATTGAATTTAACACTCTCACCCCATGTGCTATGTGAGCAAAATGGTAGCGAAGCATTTGAATGGCTTTATCTTTATCGTTCATGTTGTATACCATCCAACTTTTGAATGAAGAAAAAATTTTAGATTTGATAAAATATTCAATAAAATATTTTTTCTATTTAATTTGATTTAAAAATTTTGTATTAATCAATTGATTCAAATTAATTTTTATAATAATTTTTAAAATAATTTCAAAATTTCACTTTTCTCTAAATCAAATGCATATCAAAAATTTTTTCTGTTGACACTAACTAACAACACCTTCACGTTTTTATATCTTAAATAAAAACCCTAGATATAATTTTATTAATTTTCATAAAATTGTTTACTCTCTGAAAATAGAATAGTCGAGTATGAATAGAGCTTCGACCACCAGATCAACTACGCCTCCGCTGTATCTCTTCGCGCGGTTAATTCCAGAAGTTTGCACGCTTGACAAATCGTGGCCGTTCAAAAAAACTGTATTTTTTGGAGGCTTCAGTTCTCTATCTGTTGAAAAATTACATATGTTAAAATATTTGAAAGACGAGGTTAAATTTTTTTTATGAGAAACGATATTTTTGTGAATGGGATTTTAAATATATCTACGCTTGTTCCGTGTTTTAAAGGGAACCTAATGAACAGCGTTTAAAAGTTATGCTACAACATTCTTTTGTGGTTTTGTTATATAATGAAAAGATTTTAATATAAAAACCCGAACCATTAAATTCTGGTGGGATCGATTTCATGATGGCGATCACGTACTCGACTCCATCAAGCAGCACTGATGTCTCCTCTTTGTTCATTTTGTGCCCCGCTGTGTTTGGGAACATGCTGTAGCTGTCTCTGCCGTAAACAAAGTCTCCTACCTTTGTTTGATTTCAGGTGTCAAGTGTTCATTTAAATGTTTAAATATTTATTCCTCAATGTGAATACTTGAGATTTCCTGAAATTGATTTTCTAAAAGTTAGATTTGAATCGATTAAAATTATAATTTTAAGACTTTTACTATTTACTGATTTGTATGCTGAGCAGTATATCAAATTTCTGGAAAAATTTAATCTTATAATTTTCTAATATCAACAAAAATTATTAAAACGATATTTGAAAATTTTAAAAAGTCAAAATCAAAATAAATGCTCTTACATACATATTTGGTTTTTAGAATCCCATTTTCAATAATTTTAGCCACTGTGAAAACAGCCGATTCCTTGGTATTCTCATAAATTTTGACGAGCTACAAAGTTTAAAAATATAAAATTGTATCAGGATTATGTGACTTTTATTTACCTTTGCTTTTATTAATGTTATATTCGAATTTATTTCATCGAATAATTTATAATTTAACCTCTAATTTATTCATATGCCACTGAGTTCCATCGGCATCTTCGACAACATCAGCCCCATCAACGCCATCACTTTTTTGTCTCGTTAGGTGCACTGTATACTTCCCATTGTTCTTAACCGGAAGACTGAGATCCAAGGTTGTTGGAAATGAGATGACGACTTGAATAATAAAATTGTTATTCAACGAATAATTAATTTGTTATCGCATCGTAGAATAGAAAATAAATTTAATTTGGTAATGTTTACCAAAATTGCCATACAAAACTGTTGCAGCCTACCTTTACTGTCGTCACTTTCCACATTACTTCCAAACAACAATGCAATAAAAATAACGCTTAAAAACTTGGACAAATGCATTTTGCCCAAACTCTGTTTCACTGATGTACTGCTTAAAATTCATCAACTTAAATACAAAAGTTAAAAAGCGTTACCATATTTTGCCAAATTCGTAAAGCATTTTTTGGGAAAGTTTTGTGTGCTTAACTACATACCCACCTTGTGCAAATAAAGTTATGAGAAGATAACGTAGTGTTCAGAAAATATAACAACAGCAAACGTTGCAGTCGTAATACATAACTATATTAATTCTAAATTTAACGTTCAAAATCTCTCCGGTTTTTGCTCATATTTGCTTAACGTGGTAGATACAAATTTCATGTATCAGAAGTTTGTGTGGGAAAGCAAAAAATATTATATTTTTCATCGTATTTCATTATTAAATTATGATTTTCATTATAGCTTTGTAGCTGATATATAAGCATTTAAGTTAGGTCTTATAGGTAATAATTTTTCAAAAGTAAGAATTTATAAATAAAATCTAATAGGGAAAAAATATTAGAACTTAAATAACATTAGCATGTTTTGAAAAAATAATGAAATGCATTGGAAAACAAAAGTACACACTTTGAGAAACTTAATTGGTTTATTTTTCATTCGAAACAATCATTTATCCACTCCACGTTTGTTGATTTTATAAATTTTTAAGTGCCATGTCTCGCGCTGCCTGGTTCGAATGTTGTCTGTCCGAAGCTCAAAAACCATCATACTCGTGTGGTGCGGTGCCTGCGTCCAGTAGTGTGGATAGTACAGCCCTTTTGGAACAAAAGCTTAATTATTAATACAAGTATAGAATAACATGTAAGTAGATCAGCGTTTGACAGAGTCGCATCATAAAGAAAAAAAAACAAAAAAAGAACAAAAATATGAATTCATACTAATTGTGAGTGTGTGTGTGTGTGCATGTATGGTGTGTGTGCATGTATGGTGTGTGTGTGTGCATGTGTGTGCGTGCGTGTGTATTGTGCGTGGTTGACTATATACACATACTCCCCTTTCAACCCACACGTAATTAACCTTGTGGCAAACATGAAATTCACAACAAAAATTTTATTATATTATTAACTGATCAATCAAATTGTGCGGCGACGTGCAAAAAAGAAATATTATTGTTATTTTATTCTTAATTTCGTTAAAATTATCGAAATTGTTTTAATAAAAAATTCTATTTTAAGATTCATAATCATAAAAAATTTGAAAATGTTTCAAATTAAAAAAATTTTTGTTAACACATTGAATGAGTTTTAAACGAAACCGCTAAAGTTTTATGTACTAAGCACCGTCGACTGAGTAGAACATACGTAATGTTACGATGGTTTAGTTGTCAACTTTTTCTCTTATCGCAAATGTTTCGGTGGTATTTGCTATTAACTCCAGCCGTTTTCTACAAAAATTTACATAATTTTTTGTTTTGTTGCGGACTGAAACAATTTGCAATGCAAACTTTTACAAATTTATAAAAAGATTTTCTTCAATTTTGCCTTAACCCTAGCAAAATTTTCTTTTGTGGAAAGCTTTATTCTGAAAATTTTTATTGACCCAATCAAAATATTTGTTTCAACCAAGAATTAAATACCAATTATACAGAATCCTTTCTTATGTCTTGCAGCATCCATTTTTCGCTATTTGGCAGCACTTCTGTTCTGTTGAAAGGCACAATTTGGTAAAAAAAAATGCATTCACGCCAACTGAAAATTTCTTGATAAAAGTAAATTCAAAATTAAAAATAATGGACATCATGGTCAGAGTAATTAGATCAACGGTTGTAACTCACTCAACAACTACAATATTTAACAGTTGCCATCTTGAAGTTTTTCAAATTGAACTACCTGCAAGTCATAAGAACGTATGAAAAGTAAAAAATACTTCGTTTATATTATTTGATGGAACTACTGGTACTATTGACCATGTACTATTTTTCATGTTTGTCTTAAATAATGCAAACCAGCAAGTTTAAATCAATGTTTGATGAACTTGAAATAATTTTGAATTCAACATAAATTGAACTTAAATGAAAAAAAAACAATCATTATGCATTAGCTGGATGACCATTGTAAAGCTTTTAGTCAGAAAATGAAAAACACTTAGCATTGAAAAAACATCTAGAATGATGAATGTTTTATTTTTAGATATGTTCCCAGTATAAATTTTTTGTTAACTTAATTGCATCATTTATACGATTTTTAAGTAAGATGTGCCTATTTCAGTTCGCTTTCTTTTATTCATTCAAGAACTTTTGTAAATTTTTTGATGCCATTTTGCAGGAAATGTACTCAAAAATATATGTTCATATGATGAAACTATTGAAAAACTGGTTGATTGATATTATGTTACAAATTATCAGAGAGTATTTTTATTAAATGAATAAAAGTGCAATAAAAATATTAAAAAAACTTTCAATGTTTAAAACATTAGTTATTTTTCAGACAAGGAAAATTTTGAGCTTATTCAATAAATCCGAAAGTAATAAAAAATTTTGTTCAAAATTTGTTTATGAACAAAATGGTAGCAAGCAAGGCGAGGGGGATGTTTGTGTTAGAAATGTTAACGTTCCATTTCACAATATGTGCATGTACAAATGTTGACCTCAAGTCGTTCAATTCTAGCCTGTTAGAAACATTCGCCTGGAAAAAAATAAATTGCCCCACAAAGATGTGGAGTAAGCCAGAAATGATCTCTAGCTCATAGCTCAGCAATAATTTTGCAAACATTTATCTCTTCGAATTAAAAATTTCATTTATAAAAAAAGCAAACGGTTGAATTGAGAAATAAAATTGTATGGTACAATACAAAATGCACCTAAATTTAGAATATTACTATAACCTTATTAAGTGGAATATGAAATGGTGAATCAATTAAAACAAGTTTTTTATAGAATTATTTTAATAGCAATATTAAAACGACGACTTGCAACCATGGTGAACAGCATGCATCGACATTTCAGAGAAATTTATTTTAAATTAAATGAATTCACACACATAAACACGCATATAAATGCATATATATATAATATGCATATATATATATAATATAATATGCGTTTATATGCACATATATATATTTATTTATATATATATATATATATATATATATATATATATATATATATATATATTAGGAAGAAGACCAAGTTCTATACAGTTGTTCAAAAAATCCACCGACGATTCAGCATTAACAAGTTTTATGGTTAATTTTCTAATATTTTGAACTAGTTTTTTACAATTAAGTCTATTCAAAATGTTGAAATCCATTTTATAATCGTTTATGATTTTAATTGTTAAAATTAATCAAGCAAGATCCCATTTTTATAATCGTTTATTTTTTATATTATTATTAAAATTATGCATATAGATCTATTTCTATTTAAGTTATCATCAGTGCAATATATTTTAAATAAATTCTATTAATAGTTAGTTAGTTGTATTTTTTAATATATTAAAATAAAATAAAAGTAACGAAATAAAAACGCAAAGGTTCATTGAAATTAGTAAACAAAATATTTGAAATTATACGATTGTTCATGCTACGTGGCCGTTGTCAAGATGGCAACCAACAATGTCACAAATTAATAATTCTATTAGACTTATTATCTACAGCAAAACCATCTAGTAACACCAAAATAGCATCATTGGATGTGGAATCGCTTTTCACAAATATTCCCGTAGAGGACACAATTAACATAATTTATAAATAGAATAGTTAGTTATTCACCAAAACCTATTCTAAAAAATGAATTATTGGCGCTGCTAAAAATACGTACAGAGCCGAAGCGCCCTTCATTGGCCCAAGAAACACATTATATCAGCAAAAAGACGGTGTAGCAATGGGTTCTCCATTGGGAGTACTCTTCGCAAACTTTTATGTTGGACATATTGAAAAAATATTATTTAAAGAAGAACCAGAGTTTTAAACCTAATATCTACAGCCCATATGTTGATGATACATTCGTTACATACAATGAAGATGATCAAATAGATAAACTTCTACAAAGGCTAAATTCATTAAAATTGATGTCTACAATTGAAAAAACTACTGACATTTAAGTACCATTCCTAGACGTACTAATACAAAATACTCGTCATGAATTTGAAACCTTAGAACCTCAGTCTACACCAAAGCAATAAACAAAGGTTAATGCCTAAATGGAGATTGTGAACGTTGTCAAATAATCTCTAATAAATGGATATAAAAATTTCATGATAAAGAAAATAATAGAATAATAAGAACAAAAAATCAGCAACAACAACAATGCAACCAAAAATAATAACAAAAATAACATAGTAATGTATTATAAGGAGCACATGTCAACTGCTTTCTAACAGCATGAAAAAATTGTGAAAAGAGTCATAAAAAATGACATCCAAGCAACGAACGTAAACGATAGCATTAAACTACGAATATACTACTCCAACTAAAGAAAAACAATTGCACTAGTAAACCAGAATCGATAATAAATCATAGCCATTTAATATAGTAGTTCAAATGTAATATTAGTGAAAGTGGGCACCATAATTATGAATATGTTGGTATGACTAAAAGCAAGCTTATCAAGAAAACTCACGTACAAACTGGCGCTATAAAAGATAACATAAAAGAGAAGCACAAAACTAAAATTACTAGGCAAATCTTGGACAAAAATGTTGAAATCTTACAAAACATTGTAGTAATAAGCATATTTCCATCACCAATTTACTCATCCATCATCGACTCGGACCAATGCTTGCAGCAGGAATTCAGAAAATAAGTTTATTTTGAATTTTAATAAACTAAACATTCACCAAAACACTTTAGTGAGAAAAATTTAAAAAACGAACTACAAACATATTCACGCCAAACATTCGGTAGAATTTATAGAATATTGTAAGAATTATGGTCTATTACCAACATATATATATATATATATATATATATATAGATATATATATATATATATATATATATATATATATATATATATATATATATATATATACACAGTTGTTCAAAAAATCCACCGACGATTCAGCATTAACAAGTTTTATGGTTGATTTTCTAATATTTTGAACTAGTTCTTTACAATTA